CTTAACCCAACGTTACCAATCCTCTAACCCAGCATAAACCCAACCCAACCTTACCTTACCTAAACTTAACCCAACGTTACCAATCCTCTAACCCAGCATAAACCCAACCCAACCTTACCTAACCTAAAACTAACCTAACCTAAACCTAAATCTAACCTTACCAGTCCTCTAACTTTCCATAACCTAAACTTAACTTAACCTAAGTCTAACCTAACCTAAACCTAAATCTAACCTTACCAATCCTCTAACATAAAAGCCACTAGACCTAACTATATATTTTCTCTTCACGTCATGGTATAAAAGCCAGTAGACCTAACTATATATTTATCTTCATGTCATGGTATAAAAGCCATTAGACCTAACTATATATTTTCTCCTCACGTCATGGTATAAAAGCCACTAGACCTAACTATATATTTTCTCTTCGTGTCATGGTATAAAAGCCAGTAGACCTAACTATATATTTATCTTCGTGTCATGGTATAAAAGCCACTAGACCTAACTATATATTTATCTTCGTGTCATGGTATAAAAGCCAGTAGACCTAACTATATATTTTCTCTTCGTGTCATGGTATAAACATTTAGTGTGGTTTACTTCTTGGGAGGTGAGGGTTTGAGTGGAGTAAATTTTCTTTCTTTTCTCGTTGACTGTAGCCCATAAGTAAACGTAGTGTGCTAATTAGTCGAACACGTTGTATATTTTTATAGGGTCATCCAGAAAGCTACAGAACGCTGTACACATCTTGCAGGAGGCTTTCACCTTGAAATGTATCTATCTCTGTCTGTGTGAGGTTTCAAGCACCTTGACATCACATAGTCCCCCTCCTCGCCTTCCTTTACCTAAGGGTGCGTCACGTGTTACATACAGCATGTGGTACAGTTTCAAGCTGTACTTAGAAGCCATGGTGAATTTCATGGCCTTATTTTCCATTCAATGTACCGTAATCCTAGTGATATAATGATGAAACATCCAATAAACCTAATGAAATCAGAGTTAAAAACACTCCATGAAAGGAAAATAATACAAACGCAATAATTTATTTTACTTAAAATATAGTTGATTCGCTTTAGAAAATATTAGATAAAATTCTGTTTTCATTTTTAAACAAAGTATTCTATAAAGGGTATTATAATCGCTTTTTAAAGCCCAGCTGTAGATCGTCCAATGTGTAGCTTTGTGTTTATCCCCAATCTTTCGTGGCATAAGATGCTTGATACTGTGAAATGTAATGAAGAACAGTTTTTATTTATTTATTAACCTACATTAATTTTACAAACGTAATTCCAAGGTTTGTTTCACAGATCACCCAGCTGAAAATAGCCAGTAATCCTTTCGCTAAGGGATTTCGAGACTGTGATCCAGAGGACTGGTAAGGTTAGATTTAGGTTAAGTTAAGTTTATGTTATGGAAAACCATGACATGAAGAGAAAATATATAGTTAGG